TGCCCCGCACACACCTGCGGGGCACCTCGGCTCTGCTGGCTCACATTCACTGCCCTTGGGACTGAGATCTGCGGCTGGGAAACACAGCCTAGCCAGCACCAAACCACAGCCCTGCAGGTGTACTTTCACCGAAGTAAACGTGGAGTCATTTTTATTCTCTGAAAAGCACCTGTGTGATTTACAGTGCCTGGAGATAAACCCCAGCCAGCTTTAACCGGGCTGCTCGCAGGGCAAACTGGTGGCAGGCACTGCAGGTGACCCCAAGCAGTGCTGGCTGTGTCTGCAGCCTGTACTGGGTTTGTGGTGGCTCCTGAGCCTTGCCCCAGGGCCCTGCCAGGCTGTGCTGGGTGCAGCTCCTGAGGCTGAGGGCACGGCCAGTGCTCGCTGTGCCCTGCCACATGGGCAGTGCTGTGAAGAAAACAATGAAGACAAAACCCTCTGTGCAGAGTACCAATGAATTTGGGCCCTATATGTGTTCCCTGGCAGGCTTTTCACCTTGATTCTCAAGAGTGACACTAAAGGTCTATTAAACTGTTCTGGGAGTAGTCTGCACTGTTTGAATATACAGTCTATGCAGTAATGATAAAGTGAGCATTTTTAAATGCAGTTAATGGTACTGGGGGCTGGGGTACCAGTGATGCAGCTGAGAATAGATGATCTTTTTCCTCTATGTGTGGTCTTTTACCTCTATGTGTGATGAAGGTTTCCTAGACGCCTCAGAAGGACTGCACAGGTGTAAACTCTGCACTCCTGTTTGCCTGCTTGGGTGCTGCTCTGTATTCTCTCACTGTCTCCTCTTACCTGGGACTGTTTTTGTTCCTGGCAAGGGAAAACTGTTTCTATGCAAGATGGAAGTGCAGGAATTCCTCCTTGTGGCTCAGCTCCCACACTGGTGAGCATTCATGCCTCAGCTCACTTGTGACACACAAGCTACAGAAGGGGTCCTTTGCTGCAAAGGCAAATATCCTGTACTCCACCTGCTGCTCTCCCCTTTTGGTGTAACAAAGTTATCTTCTATGACCTGATCTTTGCTGTTTTAATAGACTCTATATTTTCGCATTTACTTTCCTTTTATTTTCCACCTTCATTACTGTTTTAGTTTCCAAGCTTTTCTCTTCTTTGCTCTACTCACTAATTCTCTCTCAAGTAGCCACTCTGCAACTACTCTGAGCCCACATCCCATCCAGAGGCCTAGAGAAACAGCCATTCTGAAAATAGTGTGTGTGCAGACCAATTTCTGTGACCTCTGCCCAGCCTACTTACAGTAGGATAAGATAACAAAAAATGGGACTTTAGATCCCTACAGCCTTGCCTGAAGATACTTTGGTAGATCTACAAGCATGGCATATATGCTTTGCAAATGTGGAGACTCTTACTCCAGTGGCACAGACTTGTAGAATCTGAGGACAGTGCTACATACCTGGTGAGTATGATTCTTGAATCCTGTTTGGCATTCAGTTAAAGAGATTTTGCAGGTTGCCCTCAATCAGTGAATAATGCATAAGTCATAATGTGGCATAATTTATACGTGAATAATGCACAAAGGTCAATTAAAAATTCCTGCCTCATGATGACCTTTACCTCTTTGTACTGCAATAAATG